GGGCACGTTCTGCATGGAGCACTGGGTGTTATGCACAAACAATGAATCATGGAACACTTCATCTAAAACTAATGATGTAATGTATGGGGATTAACATAACAATAAAAAATTTTAAAAAATAAATGTCAGGGACACAAAATCAAAGCCAAATAATACTTGCTATAACAGAAAAAAATTTCTCTTTCTTTGACTCTAAAACAACAATTTGACTTAAGACTGTTAGACTAGGAAGACATTCTACAGTAGCATTTTAAAGTAGAAATTATAACTTGGTGGTCTTCACCGATATTAATGTGTATTTTTCTCATCTCTTCTGTTTTTCCTCTTATTTCTCCTCTTTTCTTTATAACTAACTCCGTTTGACTTCTCTTCATCATGCTTGAGAATTCCAGTTTCCTCTTTTTTCATCTTCCTGTTGTGCCAGAATGTGCCTACAAATCAAACTCAAATGTCCCGTGGAATTCAAAAGACAAAAGATTCAGACGTTACTACCCCACAGTTCCACATATGGATTTCAGCTATTTCTGATGTATTGTGGATTAGCTTACTGTAATTTAAATGAGAAAAATAGCAGTTTAAAAAAATTATAAAAGGCCCATGTCAGTATATTTTACAAGTGTTTTATAACCTAATTGGTATTTATGCTGCTTAAGGGTAACCTTATCTGAAAATGTATAGATAGTCCATGGACTTTCCTTGTCAGAAAAGCATAGTTGAATAGAAAAGTAACAACTATATGCATTTTTAAATCACCAGTGGATCTTGTCACAAAGTACCTATTTAAAATAAGCATTAGCTGAACATTTATATGAAAGCATTCTCTAGAGTGAATACGATTTCCTCTGCAATTATCAAATTCAGTAGAAAGCAAAACCCAACTTTTGTTGGAGCCTCCTTGATATTTGCCACCTTTTACTTTCCACATCTTCTGGCACTCTGAACAAAGATCTGAGTGTTTTTTTGTTTTTAAGAGAGTTCCTTCAAAATATTATATAGCTCAATGACTGTTTTAAAGGAGTTCCTAAAGATCGAAGTATTGTTTTTCTAAGTGTTTTATCTCTGAGAACTTATTCCTTGGTAATTCTCTTATAGCCTCGATTTTTCTCTAACAGGTATTGCAAGGGCTTCCTGTGGGCTTTAGAAAAAGACTTGATTGAATTCACTGATTTGTTTGAGGACAACATTGTTATCAATGAAGTCCTTCATCCCAAGGATCACCACTGTTCCTCCCGGTTTAACTGTCCACCCAGTGGATTCTTTATCGATCATACATTTAGTGAGCACTTGTATGTCCCAGGTGCATGTGAGGCCCTGCTGATTGCATGGGGACCAGGCTGTGTGACGGCAGCCACATGGGGAGTCTAGGACTGCAAAAAGTCACCACCGAGCGAGGTGATAGATAGGCCCTCCCCAGGGAAGGAGCCTTTGAGTGACCTGTGTACCCCCCCAGACATTATTGCATATGAGCCTGGCGAACAATTTTGCAGGAGGGCTGTTTTCCTTATTTTAGATTAGGAACAAAAATTAAATGGGAAAGCTAAGATTTGAGCCCAGTTTCTTTACTCCAAATATACTCTGTGATACCAAGTGAATTTTTTTGTTTTATTCCTTTACTGTTCCATATTGACCTGAGCATACAAAAGAAAGGACTCCACCAAAGAGAATTCCGAGCTATTGAGGCTGTTTTGGGTGTTGTGTTTTTGGGGTTTTTTGTTTTTTGTTGTTGTTATTGTTTTGTGGTTTTCCCCCCAAAAGCTTAGAGTGGAAAGTCACTAAAGGAAAAAAAGGTACTTAGGAAAATCACTTCTGTTAGCTAAATTTTTATTCTCAACTCTAGGTGAAGTCTATATAGAACATATTGTAATACTTACTCCTTTGTGTGACTTTCTTTTCTTTTTAGTGGAATTGGATCACAGAATTGATTTTGAACTCAGAGAAGGACTTGTGGAAAGCCGCTACTGGTCAGCTGTTACGTCGCATACTGCCTATTGGTCTTCCTTGGATGTTGCCCTCTTTCTTTTAACCTTCATGTACAAACATGAGCACGACAATAATGCAAAACCCAATTTAGATCCAATCTGAACTCTTGAAGGACATTAATGGCCCAAAACTGATTTCTTTCTGTTAAAATATGTGTGTCAAGATATGGAGATTTCAGGTTTACATGTGTTTCAGTTTTGTTTAGGGCAAGAAACATTTAAATTTAAAAGCACTTTATTTAAAAAAACAAAAATATTTTTCAGTCTGAAAGAAATTATTTACAGTTTTCATCATTTTAATTATGAATCTGACAGAACCCCCTGCAGAAAATCAAGCACGACCTGGAATTGAGTTTGGGTTATAAATCACAATCTCATTTCTCCAAATATAAAGGCATATTAATAAGTTGAATCTAATGTATTAACCAAAATATGTTGTAAATCTAAAATGGCCAAGGTCCAGTGTAGTCTATGTAAAGATCACTGGTGGTATCACTGTTGTAGATTCCTATGAAAGCTTCTATTTCCATAGTTCTTTGAAACAAGAGGATGACAGATTTCAAGTGTTTTGAATTTAACTTGCTTAGAAAAATTAATGCTAAAAAAGAAACAATGTTTGAACTACTGTATTTATAATTTATTACCTCTAACGGCTTTATTTCAATATATGAAACATGACATTTTTAAAATGTTTCCTTTGAACAATTTCAGAACCACCTTTGTTTTCTATAGCATTAAGACCCTTTTTTCCTCAAAACTCCATCTTTATACTCTTCAGAGGGATATATAGACACTGTGGCATACTTTCAGTATTTTTTTCATTAAAAACTTGTGGTTTCACATAATTAACACTAGTTATTTTGAAAAAAATGAACTTTTTATTATGTCACATGTACCTCAGAGAAAGCTAAAGTTTTCTAAATTTGACACAAAGTACTCCATCGTGGCTACATTTCATTAACTTTATTGGACAACTAGTAAACAACTTTGGAGTAGTGAGTACTACGACTATTTTAAATATATAAACATCGGTGTGCCAAACAATTAACATATATAAAGGGATGGAGTGCCACTAACACATTTTACTTGTGAAGTATTTAAGAAAACCTGGTTGAGACACAAGGCACATAGATCAGGATTCTAAGGCACTGGGAGAGTTTTCCTCCGCTGTGATTGTCTCCACAGTGCTTTTCATCTGAGGAGCCCAAAGTGCTTTAAGACTCAGTCATCTATGTGGTAGCTCCTTGAGGTAAGTAAATGAGTGTTTTTCTCATGTTACGTGTTAATACACTAAGGCACCAAAACATTTTAAAGTGCCTTGAATTAGATTACAGAGCAAACAGAAGAGCTCAGATTGAGGCTAGGCTATATTTATATTCTTTTATATGCTGTAGTGACTAGTAATTCACATGTGACCTCTTAATTTGCAAACAATAATAATCACAGAAGTTGCAATGCATAATTTGGAGAAGAGACTGTGAAGCCAATATTTTACCCTACTTTTCGAATATGTTCTGGGGTTCTCACATACAGAGGAGAGTTACTTAGAGGAGATCATCTCTACCCCAACCAACCCTCACTTTCGAGTGGCTTCTACTAGGTTCCACTTAAGGTGCTTTCTTCGCTTATCTTACAAGGGTTTTCTTAGCTCCCAGTTGGATCAGTTGCACATCTCACCTACTCCTTTCTTTACAAAGTAGTGGAATCGATAGGCTCGCCTGTAGGTTTTCCTACAGCACTGTCAGTCTTCTTGTCTATTCTGGCCTTTCATTGAATTTGCACAACAGAAAGCACTTCTTCTTAGTGCTTAAAAAGATCCCAAGGCTCCATGACCAAATATGTGACTCCCTGAGAAATGCTTGCTATAAAAGGCTTTTGATGAAATCTTAGCAAAGCTGAAGCAATCTCTTTCGAATTTAGAGATTCCTGTGAACTCAGGTCATTTTCATACCCTAGTTTATTTCATAAGTCTAATTTAGTTCTCAGGAAAATTAAACTCCTGTCTCATATGACTGTATCTTTAAAGGTACTTGAGCATATATTGCTATAGATGGTGTGACACTCAAATGTCTAGGAGCTTTAAGGGATTCATTCTTAACCACTAGAATGTGAAGAGCCCTTTTTACCTGAGAAGAGTAGAGTCTATCAAACCTTTTAATTTGCTATGGAGTAAAAAAAAAAAAAAAGATATAGCTGTAGCTATATTATCTGCTTTTCATTTTTCATGTTGAGGAAACAAACTTAACCATATGGAGTTTATTTGAATTCTTGAAAAGAGCAACACTTAAAACCCCCCTTGGCAAAATGAGATATTCTGGATTACTGAACAGGTATTTTGATTTCATTATTTCATCAATAGAGATGGTGATCTTGATTTGATAGTACTCTTCTTGTTTCCATGTCTCTGCATGTTATCATGGAATGTACTTGTATATACTCAAGTAATATACAGAGTATGTGTAATTCTGGCTTGATTTAGAAGCTAAGTCCGTTACTGAGTAACATTTTGCAACTTTATTCCAGCAAGTACTAAATTGGCCAAAAAGTTCTGTTTTTGATACCATTAAAATTTTATTCTCTATTTTGTGTACATGCTATGATGATTCTTCTGAGTATTGGTCAGATCATTCAATTTGAACCTAGTTAGGGTCCCAGGAATTATCAAAACTTAGAATAAGGAGAATGTTTCAGATTAAATCTTATCTTATTTTTACTTTGAAATTAGCCTTTGCTAAAGCCTTTTGTTAGTTCATAACTTTATTTTCAGCAGTAATTATGCTTATGTTACAACCTATCATTACTGTATTATAGAATATAATTACAAAATGTACTGGAACTACCCCTTTATATGTGAAGCAAACTGTAAGAATCTTATCTTTTACTTCTTTTTATTAAATAGCGTCTGTCAGCTTTTGGAAATTCTCACACTGCACATGTTCTGTCGAAGCCTTTGGACAGTGACATGTGAACATTTGTCCTCACCTCTTCTTCTCTCTGTTGTTTCCTCACTGGGGGCTGAAGTGTCCTGGTCTACATGGCATTCACACACCATATGCCCGCTTTGCATTGCCCTGAAGAGTAGACAGGGAAGGGCGCCTGGGTGGCTCAGTTGGTTAAGTGACTGCCTTCGGCTCAGGTCATGATCCTGGAGTCCCTGGATCGAGTCCCGCATCAGGCTCCCTGCTCAGCGGGGAGTCTGCTTCTCCCTCTCCCGCTCCCCCCCTTGTGCTCTCTCTCTCTATCTCATTCTCTCTCTCAAATAAAAATAAAATCTTTTAAAAAAAAAAAAAGAGTAGACAGGGAAAAGAAACCATCAGTGGTGTCCCAGTCAGTTCACCCTTCATTTCAGTAATGGCACCTGAGCCCCTTAAAAAGTAGAGCAGACCAGACCTAGAGATTTCACTGTAAGGTCTGCAGTGGAGGAAAAACAATTGAATGGCTTTCTTGTTAATTAGGTTGGTTAATATTTCTGTCTTCTCAGCTACTACATTTGGATAATTGAGAAAGTTAATTTGAGTGTATGTCTTAACTATTTTTTTAATACTTTTAATTTTATTTAAGTAGTCTCTATACCCAACGTGGGACTCGAACTCACAATCCCAAGAGCAAGAGTTACATGCTCTTCTGACTGAGCCACCCTGGCACCCCTGTCTTAAAAGTATTTTTCAACAGTCTTGTTGGCATTGAAATGGGCCTAAAGAAGAAATGTGTGATGTTAAAGAAGGGTCAAGACAGAGTGAAAAAGAGGATCTAGTAACTCCTACACTAGAGAAAGAACTAGAATTGTACTAAACTCTCTGAGTGTTGGCTAGTTGACTTCTGTAGATATTCTCAAGTTGTCTCTTACCCATATTCTGTCATCCCTGGGCCTCACACCTCTACCAGGAATTGGATGGTACTCTGGCTGACTTTGAAACACATGCACTAAATATTTTTATAATTAGGTATGGTCCAGTATGTATAGTTTCCTAATGTTTTATAAGAATTTACTTATATGAAGAACCTTTTGCTGTACCTACAAAGAGCAGATTTGGCAGGAAGCGCCCCCACTGGACTCAACTCTGTCACCTCTAGGATGGGTCTAGGGAGCCCGTACAACCCACACTGTCTCCCTATATGTTCTCCTTTTGCATTAGTCAAGGGGAAAGGAACTTGCAAGGAAAGAGTATTGAGTTTAGAGCCGTGTATACGATGGCAGGATATAGAATTTCATCTCCCAAGTTCTCATGTAGTAAATATGAGTACTGTGATGGGAACAGCTTGGGTTATATACACCCTGTTTTGGTCTTCAGTGGATGTTTGTGAAAATATTAAAAGAATCCTAAAATCTCAGGGCTTGTACAGATTTTAGAGGTCATCTGGTCCAACCCTGTTTTAGTTTCATGTGAGCATTTAAATAGCATAAAGTCATGAAAAGTAAAGCCAGAGGTAGCATGTTAGGTTCAGCCCAAGAGGCTCAATGAAAGAGGAGGGAAGTGATGGTGCCCATAAGGAAAAATAACCACTAATCATAGTAGAATTCTAAAGCTGGGAGGGGCAGAGAGATCAGCATTTTCCAAAGCATGTTTTGCAAATGTCAGCAGATGTTTTTTCAGAAAATAAGTTTGGGAAATGCCAAATTTAAAAGAATCTTTTACAACAGGACTTTGGGAGCCTTTGATACACTAAATGTAGTAAGAATCGATCTGGTACTGTGGGGGTTCAGGAAGGGAAGTTTTTCCAAATTTATTTAACCAGATTTTTTTTTTAATTGGAATGTACTTAGAGAAATGATCACATTATTTAACTACTCCATTTTACAGAGATCTGCCCCTTCATGTTATTTCATTTGACAAGTGACCACTCCCACCCTGTAAGATCACATGGCCAGCCAATGACAGAGTCAGAATTAGAACCTAGTCCCCACCCCCATTCCCAGCGACGTCTTAGGCCACACTACCTGTTTCCTTCCCCTAGGAGATCGGCAACTCCTGAAGGGCAGAAACTCCCTCTCCATTTTTTGTGCCTCCTCCCGGCCCCACCCACAGCCCTCTTGTGTAACCTGATGCTTTACGGGCTGCAAGCTCTTGACAAATGGCTCCAGGCTTGAGTTCCCCAGTTGGTCTCCTTTGTTTCCAAGGCCCTTAGGAAAGAGTGCCCTACCGGATCAGAACAGAGGGCCTTTCTTGTCTCAGACTCAACATACTCAAGAAAAAAAACAAAATAAGAAAAAAAAGGTACACCAGGAACATACTAGTTTTCCATTCTGGAGACAAATGCAAATTTGGTAGGGAGGTTGCACAGTGTTAAATAATGTTTGATATTCCTTTCACTCCCTTAATGTTTGTATGTTGGCCTTTTATCAATTCATGACAAGCAGGTCCCTTCTAAAACTGTTCCAACATAGGTTAACTAATGGAAGTTTTTTAATTTAAGTACTGGAGAACAGAAGAATTTTTGCTACTGCTGCTGTATATGTTGTGTGTGTGTGTGTGTGTGTGCATGCTTCTTTTCTCCAAAAATAATCTCTTGGCAGATAGCATGAACTTTTCCTCTGCCTTTGTGTTTGAATAAGGGTGGGAGTGTGCTTAGTATTGTCTGTCACCTTATGGTTTTTCATTTATTTGTAACAGGGTGCAACTTGCTTCCTCCCCACCCTACAGTTATCAGGATACTTTGGGAAGTCACTCTTTAGAAAGATTACATCTGGTCTGCTGTTGGAGTAAGATGAAAAACAAGTGTATTAACTCTTCACCTTTAATGCTTTCTCCTGGAAAACATCGAGTGTCTGTGAGCATCATTCCTACCTTCCCTTGACTACACCTACACACACCACCTTCTCTGCTTGATCTCTGAAAGTCTTTGATTCCCTGTGAGCTCTGTCATAGAAAAATAAAACCATTTTTGGTCCTGAGGCTGTCATAATAAATCCACACTCTGCAAGTAAGAGTCTGGGGAGCTTTTTGGTCTCTGCCACTGGGTATACTTCTCAGGAGCCCTGGCACCGTGACTCTCCTGAGACCCTTTCTTCAGCTTCTGTGACCTCTTCTGATGTTTGCCCGCTCTCCCTGACAGTACGAAATGCTGTCAATGGCTGCCGTAACAACTCTTAGAAGGTGGCCTTTTTCTTTTTCCTTTCTTTCCTCTCATTTTCAATAGTCAAGGTTAATTTTCTCAGAAACTTCAGTTTTTACTGAAGCATTATTCCCGTTTTTATCTCTGCAGTGATCCGCTTGGATGGCAAAAAACCCTCATTTTAGAAGTGTTCAGTGTTGATTTTTCACAGCTGGAGTTAGTGCATGCACATTTAATAATTTCAAGGAAGTGAGGTGTAAATGTAGTTTGCTCCTGGATTACACAGTTTCTCTAGCTGAATCGATCCATTCATTATCTCATTCACCAGGAGCAAGCAATTATGCCCTATAGTAACCTGAAAGAGTAGGCTGTTCTAAGCATTCTTAGGAACATAATCCTCCTGATCCTATACAGTTTATGGTAATCTTCCCCAAAAGTTTATGAAGAGTGAAAGATATTAAAATCTACACATTCGGGCGCCTGGGTGGCTCAGTTGGTTAAGCGACTGCCTTCGGCTCAGGTCATGATCCTGGGGTCCCTGGATCGGGTCCCGCATCGGGCTCCCTGCTCGGCGGGGAGTCTGCTTCTCCCTCTGACCCTCCCCCCTCTCATGTACTCGCTCTCTCCCTCATTCTCTCTCTCTCAAATAAATAAATAAAATCTTTAAAAAAAAAAAAATCTACACATTCATGAGCTATGGCCACAATACCACCTCCTACTAGGAGGGTTGGTGGCCACAGGGGCACACTGGCTCCTTCAAGAACACGTATAGAAAAAAAATTGGCACGTTCAGATCTTGTACAGTATAATCCATTCACAGCTTATCGTCCCAGGGTTCAAAAGATGACCATAGTTCTCAAGCTTTCAGGCTAATCTGAATATGTGATAAGCGATAGAAAATTAACCCCGAGGGCACTTGTGTGGCTCCGTTGGTTAAGCAACTGCCTTCGGCTCAGGTCATGATCCCGGAGTCTTGGGATCGAGTTCCACATCAGGCACTCCCTTCTCTGTGAGGAGCCTGCTTCTCCCTCTGCCTCTGCCTCCCACTCCCCCTGCTTGTGTTCAATCTCTCTGTGTCAAATAAATAAAATCTTAAAAAAAAAAAAAAATTAACCCGATTACCCATGCAGATTAGCCACCAACTGGTAGTACATTTCCAATTCCCACCCCCCCCCCTTTGGTGCCTGAGTGACTGAAAAATAAGACTTTAGATGTTATTTTGTAAGAATCCAGGAATTTCAGTGCTGGACAAAAGCAATTCCCTAATGGGGTATTGACCTTAGATTGGGAAACAAGTGACCAGGATGTCAGGACTGCATCTAGACTTGAGGCGAGATAGTATGTGGACTGGAGAAAGAAAAAGCAAATGGGACTGGAAGAAGTCCATGGTCATGAGAGCCTGACAGCTTAGACGTTCCAGAGGAGTTAGCCCAGAGGCTGTTTCTGGGAAAGGGGGAATAGAGCCCAGCATTTTATTTCTCCTCTTTGGGGGTCCTCTCCTCTCCTATCTTCTTAGGAAGTACTGCC